CCCCACATCTTAGTGTCATCAGCAAATTTGAACAGGGTGTCCACAACCCTCTTTCTATACTGTTTCTTATAACCCCCAAAAAGTCCAGTTACATATTCCCCCCTATGCACTTCAGATGGATGCTCTATGTTCTGTAATTTCTTTCTAATCCTATATCGGTATTGGTGCTTCTGTGATACCTTAAGCCTTCAGTTCTCCCTAATAATGTCATAACTCATCTGAGGAGGGGTCAAATGTCAGTTATGTATGTAGCAATTATTAACTATTAACTATTTAGAATGCATATGCAATTTATTTATACATAAATTACATAGAAAGCCATATGTGTATGTGACATTCAATAGCTATCAATCACACACAAATACTAGGAAGCCCATGCTCTTCCTTCTGTGTTATCTGCCTGAATTCGTAAATGCTTCCTGGTGGGTTCATTATCTGTCTCATCTTTTTTCCCTGTTACACACTTGGATTTACTTCAGTTCAGCTGCAAGCAGTTTATGTTCAAGTTTGAGAGGCCTTCTCACAATATTTTCACCAGCAGCCAAAGGCTTTAGTAGGAGACACAATGTTCAATGTAAAGCAGTCTGGGAACCCCAGGCTGCCTACAACTGAGCACAATACAGCAGAGCCTCTTGCAAGAGGACATGGGGCCAGTTGGGGACTGTGGAAAGTGAGAAAAGGAAGAAAAATAAGGAATCCAGGAGGCAAGACACACCAAGACAGTGAGAGAGAAAAATTAGTGAGGAAAAGGAATGGCTGTAGATAAAGATGGAGGACTTTTGTGAATCAGATGTTGGCAGCTTCATTAGATTCCACTGAGAAACATGTAAATATTAATTCACTATAAACTACAAGTGGAAGGGGCTAGTCCCAGAAGAGAGAACAATCCCATTACTGTATTACCAGGACTAAGAACTGGATTAAAGCCAAAGCAATAAACAACACAAGGAAGGAAGTTCCCAGAAGAAAAAAAGGGACTGACTTGCAAAACTAGAGCACTTCTAGAGATTAGTTGACAGAGACAGACATTTCATTACATGCCATGGTCATTAGAGTAACTCTAGGTAATCAAGAGATTCTCCCCTCTTATCCCAGCTTCCACCTAACTTTTTTTTTTCTTTTATAAAGTACTAATATTTTATGAGTTTTTCCATACAAATAAATGGCTGTTTGGTTTCTGAAATCAGATGCATTGATTTAAATGGTAGGCAAGGGTATAATCATAGAATCATAGAATCACTGAGTTGGGAGGGACCTGGACAGATCATCTAGTCTGACCCCCTGCCATGG